TTCCGTTACCCCATTCATGCGTTCAACAATCTGGCTGCGATTCCGGTTGCGCCACAGACCAAGGAAGTTCAACCTATGGCTCTCCTTCGTCCCCAATCCTCGTTCCGTCTGGCGTGCTTCAACGTTCGGACACTCATGCAGACTGGACAGCAAGCCGGTCTAGCGCGCACCCTAGATTCCCTAGACATTGATGTCTGCTGTTTTTCAGAAACCCGATTGCAAGATCCCAGCACTGTGCTTACATTGACATCCCCCATTGACCACGAAGCCAGATATCACCTGCGTCTTTCTGGAGATCCAGAAGCAAGCTCAGCGGGTTTGGCTGGTGTAGGTATAGCACTGAGTGGCAATGCCGAGGCGGCACTACTGGACTGGTTCCCGATTAACAGCCGACTATGTGCAGTTCGGCTTCGGGGTTCATGTAGAATCAACAGGCAACGCGAAGAGAGACGCAACTTGTTTGTGATCTCTGTATACGCTCCAACTGACTGCAGTAGCGACTCGGTCAAGGACGAATTCTACCGGGATCTACATCAGCTCCTGACTAATGCCAAAAAGTCGGATGTTGTTATCCTTGCTGGGGATTTTAATGCACGGGTTGGCCGCCTGTTACCATACGAACGCCACCTTGGTGGTCGTCACGCGCTCAATGAGAACCGCTCTGATAACGGAGAATGGCTTCTCACATTGCGCGAAGACAACCATCTGTTTCTTTCGAGCACTAACTTCAGGCGTACGAACAAGCGTTCCGCAACGTGGCGTCCCCTTTCGCCAACACATCCGTGGTCTCAAATTGATCACATTGCAATTAGCTTCAGATGGCGCGGCAGCGTACTGGACTGCAGGTCCTTTTGATCCACCTTCGTTGACCCAGATCATGCTCTGGTCTGCGCGAAAATCTGCATGTGTTTTGGGTGGGTCCCGAAACACGAAGCACTGCAAGATTGATGTAAACAGATTAACTGATTCTTCTGTCCAGGCGAGCTATCAGTCTTCACTGGTATATGCACTCAGTTGCAATCCACCGCAAGAAGTGGAGCAACACTGGACTTGTATACGGAAAGCGATGGGCATTACCGGACAGTCAAGCTGCGGCCTAACTCGACGCCCCCCAAAGCCTTGGATCTCTGCTCGTTCTCTGGAGCTGTTCGAAAGACGCAAAGATATCCCGGCGGAACCAGATTGCAACGAGCGATGCCGTTCTGCCAACTGGCTGCTCAAGAAAAACCTACGCAAGGATCGCGAGGCATGGTGGTCTGAGCGTGCTTTAGAGATGGAGACCGCTGCCCGGTCTAGCAACACTCGCAAGCTTTTCTAACTCATTCGGTCCACTGGCCTCAGGAAGCCTGGTGTCAGTGAGGTCATTTGTGAGGTGGATGAGTCTCCGATCACCAACCAACAGAGGCGTATGGACCACTGGGCCGAGCACTTTCACTCGCAGTTCCACTGTCCTCCACCATCCATCAGTACATGCAGTACACGTTGTTGTCCACCGTAGCTCGTCCCATTGAATCCACCAAGCGAAGCGGAAGTCTGCCTCGAGATTCGACGCTCGAAGCGGTCGGTTCAGGGCTGCCAGCTCAGACGGACTTTCTTCGGAGTTGTTCAAGTACGGCGGTGTGGCGAACATTAACAAGCTGACCGCGCTGTTCGCGAAAATCCGGCATGAAGACAAAAGGCATTCCTCTTGGGGCGAATCAGTTATTGTCCCGATTTTCAAGAAAGGTGCTCGCACTTCATGTGTAAATCATCGCAGGATCAGTCTTACTTCGGTTACCTCCAAGCTATTGGCATCCATCCTGCTTCGCAGACTATCCCCAGTACGTGAATCATACTAGCCTGAAGAACAAGCTGGTTTCCGTCCCGGCCGCGGATGCGTGGATCAAATCTCCATGCTCCGCCAGCTCCTCGAACATCGCCACATTTATCACATGCCCACTATCGTTGCATTCCTAGACATACGTGCCGCTTTTGACTCTGTTGATCGACCTGCTTTATGGCGTTGCTTACTAAAGGACCGGGTGTCAGAAATATACCGACATCTTACGAGCACTTTACCTTCATGCATCCGGCAGAGTGAGGGTCTATGGCAAGCTTTCCTCGCAATTCGCTGTCAATAGCGGTATGCGACAGGGCTGCCTTATGTCCCAACTCCTCTTCAACTTCGCAATCGAAGACGTTCTGTCGAATGCTCTAGAAGGTTTCCAACATTTTGGCCTATAGCTTCTACTGAGTGAGCGCGCGACTGACTTAGGTTATGCTGATGATATCGCCTTACTTGGTGACGATCCTCAGAGTATGCAACTCATTCTGGATCGTTTGGCGGTTGAAGCATCTAAGTATGGCATGAGCTTCGCCCTATCGAAGTGTAAAGTACTGCTCAAGGATTGGCTTTCACCTGCTCCCGTACTCACTCTCGAAGGTGCATAACTTGAACAAGTAGATAGTTTCGTCTACCTTGGGAGCTGTTTCTTCTGACGGCACTATTAACAAAGAAGTTTCTCTTTGCATCGCTAAAGCTCGATCAGTATTTGTCAATCCGAGGCACTTGTGGCGTCGTCGCGACGTCTCATTCTCGCTAAAGAGCCGCGTTCACAGCGCATCAGTTCGCTCAGTACTGTTGTATGGACGCGAGTCCTGGCCGATTCGGGTGGAAAAGATACGTCGTCTTACTGCCTTCGATAACGGTTGCTTAAAGTGGATCGCTCGTGTTTGGTGGCAACATCTAGTTAATAGTAATGACGTTCGATATCGCATCTTGGGGAATGCGATTATTCCCTTCAACAAACTGGTTTTGTTGCGCCAGTTAAGAGCGCTCGGTCACGTCCTACGCATGCACCTGAGCGTCTACCGCGTCGCGCTCCATTCGCTCGTCAAGGACCTGGCTGGAAGCGACCGGGTGGTGGTCAGCCTTCCACTTGGCGGCAGCACATGAAATCGATGACGTTGTGTCTAGCCGCTGTTGAATCCGTACGTCTTCAAGGATGGGAACCCAAAAATGAGGAGTGCCAATGGCTTAACACTCTTGAAAACATGGCCCGCAAACGGAGTAAGTGGAAGAATTGTGTACAGTATTGTATTGATGCACACGTTTAATACTACAAACATTGAAAATGACAAAAAAGAGCAAAATCGGCGTGTAAACAACAAACTAAAATTGCTTTGTTCTACTTTTTGTCAAAAGGTTCCATTCTTCCTGAGATATATTAGCTGACGTGTGTTACTCACCTACAACTACTATGCCACGATGATTATGACGCGATGACGGTCCCCTATCCTCTTATCTCCATGATTTTCTATTGCCTCATTTTAGATACGCACCACACGACACTCAACTAGAGTATACAAACCTTTATGGAGCATAGATGAATACAACGAGCGAGATCAGCTGGAAGCTCGATAGTGGGTTTTCAACAATAACGAAAGCATTAGTAGGCACGGTGTCGACGCGAACGTGGTAGTAAATACCTCATCGATGCTACATATGCGTGTCCTTTATTTCGGGAGGTACATCGATGGTAGGAATCATGTAGTGGTCTGTATAGTCCTCCTGTGTGTCAGAGCATGTTGTGTAAAATACTAAATAAAATAATCAGACTATTGTACATTTAGATATTCGATGAAGAATGCTGAACCATATGCCGAATTTGTTTGTCTGACCCATGAGCATCAAACACATACACACACATGGTGTTTCAGTTGGATCCGCTACGCCGCTTCATCGCATGCTACACGGACATCTTTCCCGAGCTAGCACGCGTCGTTACGGTGTCGTATTTTTAAGCTACATATATGACCACTGTACACGTCAACAATACACCTTTGTCCCGTCAATTCTCAGTCTTCTTTTGATGTATTATGAGCGGTATTTGCCGATAATCAGACGGATAGAGGAAGTCTATGAGCGTGAATCAACTACTCTCGCTAAAGGCACCAGTAGTAGTGTTTTCGTTTATACGCAGTACAGCGTGTAATAAATAAAATGGCGCAATTAAAGCTGCTGGCTGGTAACATCTGTTGAGACTGAAGTCCGACGCAATAATCAAGGAGTTGTGTTGTATAATATGTTGTCAGAGTACTCAAACCTAGATAGGAGAAAGATTATGGTTCCCAAGCAAACCATCCATCTGAAAGCTTGGTTATAGGACCGCAGAATACTGCAACGGTCCCCAGGATGAGTCATCAGAAGTAAGTGTTTAACCTTCTTAAGAATATAATGCACACAACAGAAAGTTACCTTTGCTCTCACGAGACGTCTGAACCGAGGGTCCTGTAAGTCAGCGGCGGTCAGCTGCCCTTCGCCATCGTCATCTTCGTTTTTCCCTCTGCCTTTGGTTACACTAGGTCGTGAGGAGAATGCTTTAATCTCCTCCACCTGCCGTGCATTCTGTTCGTTGTCAGAGTCCGAGCTTGAGCTGGAAGCAAAGTCAGGTTTTTTACCAGCAACGTAACGCTGCACCTTCACTTTCAACATGTACATCTGACCTGGTGGTATTCGCGTTAAGAATCATATTGCTAGACATACCTTTCTCATTTTTGATGGGAACGGCCCCGGCAGTAGAATGCACTTGAGATGACGGCTGAACAGTTGTCATCTTGCCTAGAGCTACTTAAGGGACCGACAATGGCCAGTTGTAATAAATTCGTATGTTGACGTGACCTGAAAATAATGTTAGATCAAACTATAGTGTCACACGTATTGTTTCGTAAACATAAGATTATCGAGCATGCTACTAGAAATATTGTAATCGCAAAACAAATCACTGACAAAGTGGAAACATATAGGTATAGACAGCGTTTGCGGTTGGTGGCATCTATCATGACCGTGAAATCACACGATTCCTCCGTAACTTGCCTACGAAATGGCCGCGCCTAACCTGTCCATGCGTAGGTCTTGACACCTAATCGTACAGGTGTCATGATGCATAATGAGGTGGTATCTCCGATCCTGGTTGGCGTCGATGACATAATCAGCGAAGGCACATGTGTCCGCATCCCGAAATGGCCCGTTGGAAGTAACGATTCCTCTCTAACTAAGCGGATGGCGCAATCCGTGTCAATTCGTAAGAAGTGACCTCGGTCTGTTAAGGGTAGGGAATCGACTACTACTTACTTAATGGGGTGAACCAAGAATCCGAACGTTAACCAGTGAACAGGGAGGAGAAAAATAAACAGCTCAACACAACGGAGAAAATAAAGGTTTGTAACACGTGGCGAAGAAACAACGCGAATCGCAAAAGCAAACTGTCTTAGACATGGGACATTAATCCAAGCATCGAGCAACAAACTTGGGCAGATGAATGACAAGGGATAAATGACAACACAAATTCGCTAAGCAAAATGGGACCATGAGTGTTTTAGCGAAAGTTCCCTCATTAGTCTGTTGACATATGATGGTTTCTAATAAACAATGTAACAAACTTGAAAAGCCAAATAAGTACGCAGAAAACAGAACTTTGGGTAAATAATTAAAAACGGCGTCAGTCGTAAGCCGGTATGCAGTACGGACGCTTCGCTGCCGCACAACTACCACCGGTCACACGCAAGCTAAGTATACTGCGAGGGTCGACCTGTCCCTACGCAGGCTCGAACTCGCGCCTTTGGATTAGAAGGCAGGCCTGTAAGCATTAAGGCTACGGACCGGCGAGATAGGTATACGGATGATCCCCTCAATTTTTATTTTCCTTGTCCAAACATGCCAACCATGTCCGGTGGTTTTAATCAGCAAACCAAATCTCAAAGCCTTCGTTCACTAACATGATTATCCCTCCACCTTGCGTGCAATTTCCCATAAATTTCATGCACAGCGCACTCCATCAATCGGTGACCTCCACATGCGTCTTCACCCTAGTTCCGTACAGTTTAAGAGTGTCTGTCTACCCCATCCTCCTTTGCCCCGGTATGTCCGTGGCCCCATTACTGGGTGCTGTAAACAGAATGACCTCATTCGACTTCGGTGCTTTCCAACCAATCTCCTCATTTCGTTGGCCTCATAAGTACGTCGTACTCTGTGACGCCGTCACTTTGTACCTCAGTCACTCTGAAGCCTAGCTCGTTGATTCTCGGGCCGAAGCACTTGCCACTGTAGCTTATTTGAATTAGAAATGTTATGGTAGAGACAGGTATTCTCGCGGCTTACTTGTGTGTGTACATAGCATCGCATTCCAGTTCCGGTTTTGTTGTTGATTTGATCACTGTGGAAACGCGTTACTCGAACTTTCCTAGCGAATTTTGTCGCTTACACTTGACAGTGGTTTGGGATTCAATGCCAAGGTTATGAGTGCCACCGATGATTTGAGTTGCGACGCACAATCTCAGCGAGCAACTCCGAAGCTACTTTCCACCTCGTATGCAGGTCTCAGTGATCGGAATGACGTAGATTTACTGCAAAACAAACCGAGATAAAAACGGAGATTGTGTCTCGAGCTGATCATGTGAGTAGCCAATGAATGACGATAACAGCATCATTTTCGAGTTTTGGAACACTCGCCGTGTGTCTTGGATTGCAACACGTAATCTCAATTGTGGCCTCTGCCAATACGGTCACTGGGACCGTCACCGAAGTGGAGGGTTTCGATGTGACTCTCTCCCATCCCTGCACTCCACAACAGACGGTTACCTATTCGTTTAGATTCATCAGGTAGAGATAGCCGAGCTGGGAGTGGAACTCGGCGCATGGTGCTTGGCGGCTGTCGCCATGATCGCTAGGCCATTAAGCTCCGCGAGCAGTGCTTGACATGGTAGCATGATTAATAGGTTTAGCTGTGCAACATGCAAATTGGCAAACAAGGTAGTTATTAACAATGGTCTGACCAAATTGAACCGGGAGGAATGGAATTGTCACCCGGCTGCTAAGCTAAGGTTCAAGCAGTGTTGCACAATCGCGACACACTAGTGCTTCAGAATAACCCCTTCAACGTTCAGATGCTTTGGGGGCAGATTAAGTGATGAAGCATCTCATACAGCAGTTCAAGTGCCGACGATCTGAGGTGACAACCGAATGTTTACTGAAAAACAATCAGAACAACATACGTGAAGAGTCGACCTTGGCTACAACACCCGTGTGGCTCAGTTGGGGTCCTAAGCTGAGGAACCTTACAGGCTATTGTACAGCTAAACAAAAGACCCAAACCAAACAGCATCCGGGATAATGCCAATACATATAATTCCCGAGCAAATGAAGTCCGTAATAGAAATGTCCCATCGAGTCACTTCACCTTATGTCCGTCTTCGTCTAATGAGCGTCTGTCTACGCGTGCCAAACGTCAAATAAGGGGCCGTTGGCAGCCCACTGCATATGGAGGAAAGTAAGAGTAGTCCGCTAAATTCATGAATGCCTGAAATACCATTTAGCTACCGTGTGTTGTTAGTACATGCCCACTAATTGTAAGGATAAGTCCGGAAACGGATTCTGTTAGATCACGTTTTTTCGCTATTCCGAATTAAACGCACAAAAATTTTCCCGCAAAAAATTCTAGCCCAGCAGAAGAAAAATCAAAAGCCCAACGACCATGACCACGAACAACGTGTTAAGAAAGACACCACCAAACGTAGCCAAAAACGCCGCCAAAGCGCTGTACCACTACGCCAGACCTACGCCAAGTATATAGGTGGCCCAATGACCATTGACTTCTAAAAAAGGAAGGTCAACTGGAGAAATTAGCAGCCTCTGCCAAAACTCCGTATGTTGGCAAGCACGTGAAGGAATGGAACATTCCGGAATCTTCGAAATCAATCCAAGATCGAAGATAGTCGATTAATTGCTAAAATAATTGAGTTTTCCTTTATGTTTTTACCCTTTCTTGGACAGATTCGGTCAATCTCTATTTAGGGGGGTATAGCATATTATGTCCCACTAGAGGGGGGTTTATTCCAGTAACGTACATGATCCACGAAGAATCGTCCTTATATCCAGTCTGAACTATCGATCGTTAGGTTACAGATGAAATTCACACAAATGTACTCAATGCGGCCGGTCCAAAGAGAGTTCAGTTCGGTTGAAAAACTTTAGTCCGGGCACTGAAGTGCTGTGGATCCACAATTCGCGTCGCCAGAATAACAACAAATAACAACGGGAAGAGAATGAGGAGAAAGGGAAATTGAATAGGAAGTAAACGGAAGTAAGAAGGAAGTGCGCAAATGTAATCTGGATGAAATGGAAGTTTACAGCCAGATGCAAAAAAAGCTAATGCAGAAGTACCGCTGACTGAAAGACTGTGCGCCAGATCTGTACTGCTTCGGGTTCCAACATCAAGCGGTGCTCATGCTAACTTACGGGTTACATGCGGAATAGTACAGAACAATTGTCTGCCACACCTGGACATACTCATAAGTCGCAGGGATGATGCATGGATTAAGAGGTCCATTTGCCGAAAATCAACTTGGTCCGGTCAGTACCTCCACTTGACTAGCTTCACACCAGTGCGGTACAAACGAACACTTGTGAAGACTCTAGTTAGTCGTGCCAGACGAATTTGTTCGGCCGACTGTCTGGATGATGAGCTAGTGTTAATTCCAGCAACACTAATGGCGAACGGCTACCCTCGAAGGTTTATCGAGAAACACAGCCAACCGCGAGGGCCAAAGGACTTGGTGCACAAGGCAACCAAGAAAAAAGTGTATATCGAGTTACCTTCCAAAGGTGACAGCCACGCTGAAGACAACTAAGCGCATAATTTCGGCTACATAAAGAAGTTGCTTTGCTGCACAGGTTGTCGTCATCAAGCGAACCCGAAGTTTGCCCATACCTCTCCAACGAAGGAAGCTCAGCCTATTGGGGCCAACTCACACTGTGTATACCAATTTGTATGTGATTGCGGAAAAAGTTACATAGGCAGAACCAATAGAACGCTGAGTTCCCGAATAAAGGAACATGTTCGAAGATGGGTTCAGCGTGAAGTTGCTCAGATTGCCTACCCTCGTCAGATTCCATGTTCGCGCAGACCGTCGGCTTCCTCGATAGGCAAACACCCATTAGACTCGGGTCACCAATTAGAGCTGGGCTCAGCGTTTAAAGTTGTGTTGCGTCACACTAATCCCCGCTTCCTTCGGTTTGCTGAGGCTATCGCTATAAGCCGGATTAAACCAGCCTCGTTTGTTCAGAAACAATTATTTGTCAGCCTAAAGCTGCCTTGGATGTAGGTGTGGACTTCCGTCATTAGTTTTGCACCTTCAGCTTGTCTGGTTGCACCCAATGTTAGCTATATCTATGCATATCGGTTATTGTTAATAGTACTGAAGAGACAATACGAAATGCATGCATCTACCAGCCTTCGTCTTCTTTCCATGCTGTTCAAGTGAAAAAACTTAGGCAGCTTCATCCGATGAACAGACCATATACATACACGAAAAAACCGAGGCAGATCTGAGATACAAAGCTACTCGCTTATCAAAACTGGAGTCCACGCGACCCGCTTTGTGCTTGACTCAAGACGTTAAAGGACAGGGCTAGCGGTCGGTACCACTGGCGCGTCTGCTGTCGTCTTCTAGTCGGACTGCCTGTTTAAAGTGTATGGTGCTGAGTTATCTGTGAGGTAATGGCTGATTATGACGCGGGGCATTGAAAGCCTCAAGGAAGCCGTCTTGCTGATGCCGCCTTACCTGTGAACAGTAACCAGCTGTTTTTGACGGTATGTTGTTGACACAAAGTGTAGGTTCCTTG